CAGAAAGACAAAGGACATGTGTTTTTCTCTCATATGTGGAAGATAGATTCAAAAGAAACATATACACAAAAACATACATGATCATATACAAACTTTTTTATATGTAGATCGTGTTTGTAGTAGTGGAATGACTCTATGGAACTCAGGGAAGGAGGGAAAGGAAAAGAGAAAGAGTATCAACAATATAAAACATAACATCTGTGCAGGAAGAGGATATAATTAGGTATTGAAAGCTGCTGAATAATGGGGGGTTGGAGGGAAGGGGTAAGGCAGAGCAATGGAAGGGATTGAACTGAACAAGGGAAAGTATACTCACAGTGAGGATACATTGAGAAACACTTTAAACCGTGACTTAAAAATTAATATCAAAGATGGCACTATAAAATTGGTATAGTGTGTGAGGGGTACTTGTGGGACTGGGGGAGGGTGAACAAAGGAGATTAAGGTGAGGGAATATGGTTGATGGTCTTCATAAACCAATAGGAAATAGAAAAAAAACTGTATTCTAATTGTCCTCTCAAAGCTGATCTTCAATATTTTCTAGGTTCCTGGCCACCCAGATAGACACTTCCCAGCACCCCTTGAAGCTTGTTTTGGACCATAATCTTACCGATCAAATGTTAAGAGATGTGACATAAACAATTTTCAGCTCTTTGGTTTAAAAGAAAATTGCCTGTTTTGGTGTTTCCTAGAGTGGCAACAGCTTAGCTTCAGGCATGCAGATAAAAAGAGTCCCAAAGGCTGAGAAAAACTGCCCAGCCAAACTAGACTGGCTAGAATGCTGTACAAGAGAAGTAAGTAAGGTTCCATTTCATTTAAGCATGTAAGGGGCTCTTTGTTGTATCTGCCTAGTCTCTACCCTGATGGTTATAATCCAGGCATGAGTTTGTTGCATTTGTGGGGGCAGAGAGCATTCCATTGGATCATACAGCCATCTAGTAGCCAGTGCAGCCATCTAGTTATGCAATGAGGACTTCCTTCCACTGTCTTCCCAACAACGTCATGAATTGATAATTATATAATTCAAATGCTCCACGTTAATAAAAGATCCTTTGAATGGGGCCAGCTAAGAATTATTACTGCCATTAAATGAACACTTAAGCACGGACTCTCAAAGGAACAAATAAACACATTTCAAATAGGTGGACATCATTTTTACTATCATTTTGCTTTATTTATCATTTGCAGTGGTAAGGATCAAACACAGGGCTTTGCACATGCTAGTAGGCAAATACTCTATCACTGAGCTACGTCCCCAGCCCTAATTTTATTTTAACCAAGAAATAATTTGCAATATGTAAGATGCAACGAATGAAGTCTTTTAAGTATGCATTATAGTCCCTTCATTTAACATGAAAGAACTCAATTGGGAGTTGGGGAGAAAAATTACGATGATTAATTACACTTTCTTTTAGATTTTTTTTAACTTTATCAAAAATAAGTTGATCATTTTTTTCTAAACTGAAGCAATATGTAAAATGTGAAGCTTGCCTAATGTTTTAAAACTTCATAATCATATGGGCTTGATGATTATCTCCAGCTCTCAATACCATTAAGACCTGAGTGCAAAATGGTCACTTTTACATATTGCGTTTGTGTTTTGAGGACAGTGTGTGGGGGTGCACTGCCAGTGATGAGAAGTGGAGAGAATGCCACATGGAGCTCTCTTAAATCACCAGGCATGGCTGCCACAAAAGAATGACATCAGTATCACTGTGACCAGAGCTAGTTCTCTTTTCAGTTTCCATCTTGACATTCTAGATGGCCCTTGGTAAATTACTTCTCATCTCCAGGGCCACTTTCCCACTCTGTAAAGCATGGATTATAATAATTGCCAGCCACCGCTCAGGAATGCCAGCCACCGCTCAGGAATGCCAGCCACCACCCCTTTTATAAAGCACTCAGATCTACTTGGGAGAAAATTGTTATATCACTACCAAGTAGGATGACTGTTATTTATGATTCTTCAAACCTTTGAATCTAAATTTTTAAAAATGGCTTTGTCAGAGATGAATTTGCCTGGCCACTTTAATGCCCGTAACTAGGCACAATGATTTGCATCAATACTGACTGTTAACAATCCCCAGATTTTAAATTTGGGGCATAATATTTACTGAGAAGCTCCTACTCTCTGAAATCCACATCCTGTCATGTGAATGATGTGCCTTCCTTTTCCCATTGCTGTTTAGCAAAGTCTTCTTTTTGAGGCTCATTCATCAGTAAGAAATATTAGCCATTATGCTCACTTTATATATCCTTCATTCATTTTGTATTCCTAGCAAAGCTTTATTCTCTTATTGTATACAAGAGATCAAGATTTGTAACAGTTTGTCTTTGCAAAATCCTTGAGCTTGTTGAAAGGTAAAAGCTACATATTTGGTTTTCTTATTTGAGTCTATACATCCTAACTAATTAAAAAAAAAAAAAAAAAAAAAACAAGCCAGGAGCCAGTGACTCACGCCTGTAATCTTAGCTACTAAGGAGGCGGAAATCAGGAAGAACACGGTTCAAATTCAGTCCTGGGCAAGTAGTTCATGAGACCATGTCTTAAAAAAAAAAAAAAAAAAATCACCAAAAAGGGCTGGTGGAGTGACTCACATGGTAAAGTGCCTGCCTAGCAAGTGTGAGGCCCTGAGTTCAAACTCTAGTGCCACAAAAACCCCCAGAGATTCGGTTCAAAACAAAGATGGAATGGATATGGCAAAAGAAAAAAAAAGTTAAGTAATAACATGATCATTGGAGAGAGTAAAAGTGAAAATTATGTACAAAGACAACAGCAAAAGCAGACATTGAGGAAGACAACACAGACTGAGAAAAAACTTACTGTGAGCGCTCCAACAGTCAAGTCAAAGAGAGGAACTACATGGATCCACTACTCAGCTTTCATTGAGTCATGAAAGGAGGCACCCAGAAAATAAAACATTTTTAGGATCCAGAAATTTTACAAGAGGAAGCTTATTTTCAGGATATTAAATGACTTAACAGATATGCACTTGACACTGATTATGAAGAAAGCTTTTAAAAATAAAAAAACATGGAGTATCTCTCAGTCCATGCGAATGACAAATTCTTGGAACAATGTTTTTTCCCCAAATTTTCCCTCGACCTGTGATATTTTTATGTTTGAATAATATCATGGAATTGGTGGGGGGTGGGAATCACATTTTCGTCTTTAGGTAACAAGTGTAACATGGACACTATAAAGATACAAAGTCAAAAAAGAAAAGAACTCATGCTCCCAGGTGACTACAATGAAAATCCACAGATGAAGCTCTTATTTGGAGTTGTGGGGATAAGATAAGTGTCAAGCTCAACTTTTCTCCCTCTCCCTCTTTCTCTCTCATATGTGGGGTGGTAGGGACCAAACCCAGGGCCTCACAAATGCTAGGCACACAGAGTCACACCCCCAGCCCTCAACTTTTCACCTTTTCAACCACTTTTCCAGCTTTGTTCAATGACAACTTTTAGCATTACCAGTAACCCTTGCTAACAGCGCGAGATGAGTTCAGCACCTGGCAGGACTTTGCACATGGAGCATCATGGATTCTGGGCCCCTCTGAGAGATGACAGAGACTACAGACAGCAAATCACAGTAGAAGGATTGACTGTGACCAAGACTGAATGGCCTGCAAAGCAGCAACATTTGCTAGATGGCGTTTGAAAGAGAAAGTTTGCAGACCACTAGTAGAAACTAAGTTTGGAAACCAATTCACAGCCAATGGAAGTGCTTTGCCAGATTTTGCTGTGGGTGGCAAGCCCAAGTATCAGTTGGGCTCAATCCCTTCTATGCTGGAACATCTGGGCTTGATGTTCCTCTTTGAAGGACTATCAGGTACTTCCCACAAAGGTTTAATTTAAACAACACAGTGAAATAAGGCAAGTCTGATTTTTTGTTTGTTTGTTTTGGTGCAAATCAAATATTCCAGGATGCAACTATAAAAGCAAAATTATTCCTTTACAATGCATTCTAGAACCAAAAATTCTATATGAAATTGAAGACAAAACTGATCGATCTTCACATCATGAAAGCTCTACAAAAAACTTTGCTAAAGAGTAAGGAGTCTGTATCTTACAAATAAATTTTAATTTAGCAAAATCTGAGAAAAGCCTTTACTCGGCCACATCAGAAAGTAACTGACTTTTAAACAGACACAGGTCTACTAAATGGAATGAAACTATTAAAGCTAAGATTCAAAAATGAACCAGAGACACTGCTACTGGAGAAACAGCAGACGTTAAAACGGCCCACAAGCTTATCTCGCAGAAGCTTATCACAGCCTTTATCAGAGAAATACTTTTGAAACCAAGTAAATACGTAGCAACCAGAACCATTTTAATTGGAGTGCTTTTTCATCTGCTCCCCCCACTCAAAAAAGTGAATTTGAGAAAATTAAATTTGGCTTTAATTCATCAAGCTACATTAGTCTCTGAAAACTTCTAATTTTAAAATCAAGTACTCATTTGATTTTCAAGCAAGGTCAAGAGAACAAGGCAGCCTAGCGCTGACATTACAGAGGGACGGGCCCCAGTCTCCTCAGCAGCTACATCAATGTGGCGTGTTGCTATGGTGCCTGGCTATTAATTTCTGAAAGAAGTTGATTATAAAGCCGCCAGAGGAACATCAATTGGATGACACCACTTCAGCACAGAACACTGCCATGCGTTATTCTTGTTTATGGCAAGTTAATTTTATGAATCACCACTTTTGTGATGTGAATATTCCTTGCTAACTTTAAAACACCAAATCAATAAGCAAAAATTAATTAAAGTTCAGCTTCAACAATTGGGAAAGTTTGATATTATTTGGGGGGAAAATTGTGAATTTATGGGCTGTTTTCTAAGTGCAATCTTTGAAGGATTCTACAATATGCTACATATCTTACACACAAATAAGCACACAGGCATTTCACAAGTACAGACCAAAACCAACCAAATTCAACAGCCTCGAAGGTGACAAGGACAGATGTAGACTTAATTCCATTCATCCCATTTGCATTTACCTTTTCTGGCTTCCGTAAAGCAATCTTCAGTTACAGTCACCTCAAAAGGTCACTTTTCACCCTGAAAACAAAAGAGAACATCGAAATCTGAATGTCAGGCGAAGGAGCACCACTTCTGCCCAGAAGCAACACAAGCCAAACAACACAGGAACTCAGTGACAGCCACTGGCAAATGACTCTGAGAAATTCATAAAAACAACTCCCGAATGTCCACTTATCTGGCCCACAAGTTCAAGACAACAAAATCAACTTGGGTGGAAAAAGTCAAGGTGAAACATTTCAAATTTTACATATGAACTTTTTCTCATATTGCCTGTAATATGAGAAAAATTTATTTTCATGTGGAATAATATATGACTCATAGGTCTTTGTTTTTGGAAACCAGACTGCTACTTGAACATGTCTCTGTTTGGTTAACATCCACACGTCTAATTTCATTAGGGCAGAGGCTTAGTTTTTTCCTCTTCAGAAGACATCTAGACATGTAGACAAGATGCTTTATGCCACTTTGGACCTTTCACAATTAATAAAAGCACCTCAATTTTCAGTTTTTTGGGGGTGGGGAGGTTAATTGCTGGTGAAAGCTGGTCACAGAGTGTTTTTCACTTGGAATATATCTACCAGATCTACTAAGTTAAATAAAAACGGTTCACATCAGATGAAATAAACAATTGAAATCAAACTTCCTAAAACACAAAGAGCATGGAACACATTTTACCCTAAATCTACCCCTGCATCTGCATACTCCCTTATGCAAAACATTGTGTTATCCTCTAAGAATCATTACAAGCTGCCTCTTTCTACCCATGGAACTGGATCAACATATGGCACAAGTGAAAAGAAAAACATTTTGTTTATTAATTTAGATCAAGTTACTAACAGGGTACAGGATCCATCCCACATCCATTGGCCAAATGCTCCAATAATTTTTTTAGGGTGGTGAAATCTTATCATCTCACTCACACGTTAATATCCTTTTGCTCACTCTTCAGAACAATATGTAATGAGGTGGTTTTAATTTTATGTGACTAGATCCCTGCTTCTCCTTCTGCTGTCAGCCTTGAATGTGGAAAGACAAACACCATTGAGTAGAGTAAAATCTTCCTTCAGTAGGGCTAAAAAATTTTCAAGAGGCACTTTGGTGCGTACTATCTTTGAGGAATTGATCCAAGGCCAACTTAAGACATTTCCACCAGCAAGTGTATGCAGATTCTTGCCACTAAGATTGGAAAAAGATGCCGGCTCTGAGTGAAATCATAATTTTCATGTTTACTGTAAGAGGAAATGGGAGGTTTTCACCATAAATGTTCACCATTTGGGTGGGGGAAAACCCTAGAGCTCTGGGACTTAAAAAATTACTATCCTGCAACCTGCCCAACACCTTTTTGTTTTTACACAAAACAATTCAAATTGAAAATGAAAATCGTGTGTTTTACTGCTGATGTGTGTCTCTGGATGGGTTCGCCAGTGGTGAGAGTCTCTTGTTTCAGGGCAAATGATGATAAGAAAGGAAAACAGAGCAATGATGGTCAGACCCTCAGGGTAAAGCAGAAATGAAAAAAGCAGTTCCCACTCCACATGAGTGGGAGCTCCCTAGGACACAGGACAAGACATGGCAGTAGTACCTTCCATACCAGAAGTGCTACCATACCACTCAGCAATTTTCTTTTTTGCAGTATGGTGGATCCAATTCAGGGTCTCCTGCATACCAAACAAGTGCTCTACCTCTGAGCTACACCCCCAGCCCTCATCAAATCTTAAATCAAAGCCAAGTGAACTTTGGCAGACCTTACTCAATTCAAAGCAAAAAAGCCCTTTTCTCCCTCCTTTTTCCTCAACATGATCTTGGTTGCATGCACACTAAACTAATTTATGTTTATCTATTGAGCTGTGCCTATTTTTGCACATTTGGCAGTCAGAACTCTAGCATTAGATTTTGCAATGCAGATGAGATTTGCTATCATATAGGCCTGGCAAAATAAGTGGACCTCATTAAAATTTAATTTTTAAAAGAAAAAAAAACTGCTGAAAATGCCTACTTCGGATAAAGTTATCTCTAGGACTACGTTAGAACCTGCAGAAGATTTCCAGGTAAGCAGGAGGCCTATTTCTCTACTCACCTCCCTACACAGTACAGTAGGGAAGCAAACACAGAGCAACAATAGAAGCTGGTTCACCCTCAGATTTTAAGTGTAATTTTTTCCTGGGGGCTATGGTTAAAAAAAAGCATTAATAACAACAAAATTATACAAATGACCCTCCAAGTTACACATACTCAGGTAATTCAAAATTGGCCACATTTAATTTTCATTTCTATATAAAAAATCAGCAGTGAGATGTAAACTCTATTCCATAAATTTTAATGCACACGTACACTTGACCACTCATTAATTCATTTCTGTTGATTTTAGTTTTCAGAAAAAAAGTATCCATTAGCAAAGTAATCTGAAAGATATTTTTCTAGTTTTGCTGAGAAAAGATTAATAGTTCAACAGCTGTTTGCCATCATGCTAAATTAAATGAAATGTGTCAATATAATGGACAAGAAAATTAGGGGGTAGTGCTGGGGCCTGAGTAGGCATCAGTAGGAGCTTAGAAGAATCAGAAGTCAACTAGAAGAAAAATGTGCATTTCACTTTTTTTCAATGCATAAAACTTCCGTTTCCAAAACTGTATTTGCTACCTTTCAGTTGCTTTTAGCGATCAAATCTATCAACTATGTACCTGTATGTTCGTTGACAGCACAAGCATGAGAACTAAAATTAAACCACTGTGTAAAGCTTTCAAGTTAAAAAAAAAAAAAAAAGAATCCAAGGTCAAAGAAATATATTTTCCCCTCCAGCCCACATGTCTTCTTTTAAAAAATGCTGTCACCACATTGCCAAAGATACAGTAAACAAAATTAATTACATTCCTTTCTGTCATTCTCTACAGCAGTTAAGATCCTGTAAGCACCAGCATTGTTCCATGGTCTCTTCACTGATTGCAATAGTGTCATCTACCTGAAGCTACATGGTGACCACCCTTCAGCTGCCACCTGTAGGGTCAGAAGCCTAACTAATCTAGGTGCCTTGCTCTCTCCTCCATTATGAAGGTTATTATGTTATTACAAGTCCTCAAGGTGGCACTTTCTATGGACCTGTTTTGCCTGTCATTGAATCTGTGATTATAATACAAAGCGTTCATTGGCAGGTGGCACTTGGAACTGAGTGGCAGGTAAGTGTGGAGGTATGATCTGTTTCACAAGGCTGAAAATGAACAACATATACCCTATTTTCCCATCTAAATTATCCTCCCCCCACCCCACCTTTTCTTTTGTGGCAGCTAAACTAAATGAAGGGCACCAGGTTTTCTGCCTTGTGGTTCAAGTTACTCAGTCATGCAAAAGCAACTCATCTCAAACTTCTGCAAATGCTGGCAGAGAACCACTGTGAGCTGGTCCCACTAGGGACACATGAAGATGAGCAATGCCAGACCTGAGTCCTGGGCTTGGGGAGTGGACCCTTTCCTTCTTTGAAGTTCAGGAACATGGCTGAAATTCTGCATATACTCCCAAATCCTCCAACTGAAAGGCACAGGCTTCACTGTGAGAATAGGTCCAAATGGGTCAATTTTCAAGAGAGCACTGCCTCTTTAAGTAGTCAATCTTAATTCCTTCTGGCTTTCCAGTCTTGTTTTTCAGTGATTTCTTAGAAAACAGAAGGATATCAACACATATTTGATTAGTTAAAAAATAATAATACAAGGGTCATCTTATTTTCTGCACTTATGATAAGAATATCCTTTCAGAACTCAATCCCAGTGGGCTTGTTTTTTTTTCTCTGCTCCCAGAACTTCAAATATTGAGTCAGGTTTACAAAAATTAATAGGAAGGAAAGAAAAAACAACACAAGAAAAGAAAAAGAGGAAGAAAGAAGGTAAGAACAAAAAGAGAAGATAAAACAATGGAGAATGAGAAGCAGGGAAGGATGCAAGAAAAAAAGAAGAAACTACTTTGCAAGCCACCATGCAGGCTGCTATGAAAATATGACATCTCCTTTACTTTCTCTCCCAAAGAATTATACTACTTTAGCTCTATCATTTACCAAATCCTGGTCCTATTCCTGAAAGTAACATTTTATTTCCTTTTTCCTAATCCTCTGGGACCCTTACAAATCAAAGTGCCTGACTATGGCGGTCCATTCTAGTAACCAACAATGGAGCAAGCCTTATGGCACACACAGGAACCCCAGCCAAGGCTGCCCTTGAAATCTCTTTAGGCTGGAAGCCCCCCCCAAGGAAAGACACATCAGGCTCATTTGCAAAAATGACTCTCTCTCTCTCTCTCTCTCTCTCTCTCTTACCTTCCAACAAAGTAAAACCCTGGTCATGGTCATGTGGAAATATTTTATAGGTATCCTTTAACAGTCTTTACATGTTGAAACCCAAAAACAATATTTGCTGTTTTGCCTTTGAAGCTCTAACAAAGCCTTTGTTTTAGATTTACCTTTAGTGTGCAATAAGAGTTAATGATCAAATCCATCCCAACCCCCACAAATGTTAAACAAAAAGATAAAAGAAATGCAAATAGCTATTGTCATGGAAAGTTAAAGTACCTGTCTGTATTTTTAAGTGAAAACTATTATCTCTATCAATCAAAATTTAAGAATACAATAGCACTAATCACAGAAGGTGCTCTGATGGAGTTACTTTCTCTGATAAAAAAAAAAAGTATTTTTCCTCTTAAAAACCGAGGATAAAAGTCATATACTTACAATTAGATAGGGTATTTGTAATTTTATTATTAAAAACCCTCAGCAGCCTCACTGTTAATAAATGCTTCTAAGTCTCTAGACTGATTTGTACCCAAGAAGACCCAAGTTCCCACATACTTGAATAAGGTTGATGAAATTTTATTTAAAAATTCTCCCAGTTTCCAACCTGTGGGGGAACAGCACACTCTTCCGTTGAAAAGAGTTACTCAGACAGAGGCCCCAGTCAACTGGCAAGGAAAACTTGCAGACCCTGGCCACAATTTTCCTGTACCCTGAAATATCAGCACAAAGGACACAGCTTCCTTGG